TGAACGAATCTTAAGTGAACTTGAGAAATATTAGCCAAATAGCAGACAGACGGTATAGAGGAAAAAAATGTTATACAAAACCAATGAAATATATATACTTCCTATACGTGGTTCAAAAACTTGTCAAGGGTAGAAAGACGTTCAGAGGTTCTAAAATCGTAATGGATGCAGTAGAGGAAATCATCCATACGGCTACAGAATAGTCTACCTCTGGAGATATGATAAAGTCTCGAAAACTCTTTCAGCCTCGATCATATAGCTTCAATATTGTTTATGTGCACTCCGGTTGTTGGGTGCACAAAATGCTACTTGTGGATAACGACACGATGCATATAACCAAGCCTATTTAGGAGTCTGTACGCTTTAAAATCATCCGCGTATATTGTAGTACCTGGCTGCAGCCAGTGTTAGTGGTGCTTTTATTATCTAGTTCGCAATAATTGTCATAATTCGCCGTAGTTAAGAATTATATATGTGGTTTTCATCACGAACTGACGTCAACTATAATGCCAGAACGTTATTTAGTCAAATGAGTGAAAGGCTTTCGCGTTAAAATCTGAGATCTATTATCTTATACTTGATTGATTCGTCCATAAATTATAGTCACGCCGTTTTATTTGTTATAGTCGCTCAATTATCACGTTTTTTGCAAAATTCCCTGTGAACCGAACGTACGTTAGCATTAAGCACTGAAGTTGGCGCCATAACCTGGAAATCTCTAAAACGCCTCTTATCGGCTCGTCCAGAAATTAGTCTCGACTAACATTCTAGCCTTGTGGTAAAGTGTTTTTATAACATATTGAGTGAATTCTCTGAAAATTCAGGTATTATTCACTCCATGTTCCATTCTGATATGTATACCTTTGGGAGATTTCTTCACTCGCTACTAGCGTCTAGAGCAAAAGTCGAACAAGAGAGAATTCTCACTTTTATTTACTTAATCGTAGATAATTCAGAAAGACTGGACCAATTTCTATCGGGAAAACTTATTTACTAGTATAGGGGTTGTGGAGATTATTAAGTTTTTGATTGAGATCATGAAATGATTGATGTTAGACCACCTTTGGAAACCTGGAAGCACTGGACGGCCGTTTCGTCCTATTGTGAAGCTCCTCAGCAGTGCTCATCCACCATCCGGCTCGCAGGATTCGAACTCAGGGTCTTCGGTCTCGTTAACATGTGCTCACTAGTGACTAGCCTCGTGAGAGAATTCTCGGAGTTCTAGTGAGAAGCCGTGACCAGTGGAGCTAATCCATGTCGGGTGGAGACAGGTATCTACCTCAGTACAATGGAAGATGGTCGCGCAATTTCGTGGATTGGTTGATGTTAGACACTAGCACCGTTGGATGTCAGCTCAGTGGTCCAGTAGGCTAAGCATTCGCGCGCGGGACCGAAGCCCCCGGGTTCGAATCCCGCGAGCGGGATGGTGGGTGCGCACTACTGGGGAGCCCCACGATAGGACGAAGCGGCCGTCCAATACTTCCAGGTTTCCAGTGTTGGTCTAGCATCAATCGGTTCATGATCTCACTCAGAAATTTATTTACTCATTTAAAAAGTTTCATTTGATGTCATTTCAATGAGTTTACAATTTTACTTTGACAATAAGATGACATAATACTTTACTAAATCACTGGCAATCTAATAAGAAAAAATATTTAACATTGACAGACTTTTTGACATATCTAGCGATATTTTTAGTGAAATTAGTCCTGTCCTCATTTAATTTCCCCCACTTAGAATTATCTTAAATAATTTAAGCTATTTAATTAAACTGATCAAACTTTCTTTATTCAAGATATAATGGTCATGTTCCCTCTCTATGTGCACTATTGTGGTGTATGATACTGATGTCGATAGATATAAATAGTATGTATTATCAATCAAAAGTGAAACGCCTAGAAGGTTAAGAAGATCAAAGAAAAGAGAACAAGAACAAAGAATGATTAGTGCGGAAACGAAAGAACAATGAAGTCTGAGACGATTGACTGACATTTTGCAAATTAAGATTTTATTAAAAGATTCTATGATTTTGTGTTCAAATACACTTGATTGCTTCCTTTTGTGTTGGCGTTCACTACATTATGAGCTTTATGTAAAGTATTCAAAGATTTTAACTTTATTTAAACGTTTAGGTACGATATTTTTCGTATTAAAAAGTCTTCATTGAGTTAAATTAGGTAGATTTACCTACAATAAAAAGTTTTAAAATATTCAAGAATTCAATTACTTTATCAGTGTTTTATTGCACTGCTAGACTGACCTTGAGAGTGTTCATCTAATAATCAGTAACAAATGAGGGTTATAAACCAGTGTGAGGAATTAGAATTATGATTTACAGTTGATGATTAAGGTTAGAAATTAGATTTAGAGTTTTCATCACGAACTGATATCAGCTATAATGCCAAGACTCTATTTAGCCAAATGAATGAGTGAATTTCGCACCAAAATCTGAGACCTGTTATCTTATACCTGATTGGTTCGTCCACAAATTATAGTCTCACCCATTTACCTTTATCATTTACGATAAATGATGTTCTTAGTATATTATGACTATAAGCTTTAGAAAAAAATTATTTAGGACATTTGAACCATTGTGATTAATTTAATTGGAGTATATGGATAAAATGTATAGGATGTTAATATTGATAGAAACTACGACCAAGTGTATGGAATAGTTAAAAGAGTTTTGATTAAATAACTTAAAGTTTGAATACTTTTCCAAATAAACGTGATAAACAATAACATCTAATAATGAACACATTGATTGTTTAAAAGTTACAATCATGTTTGTGGACTTATGTTGTCAAAGTAGTAAGTGAGATGGGTTTTACTTAGAGAAAGGAAAATATTTACCTATTTCAAAACCTGAATGATTATGTTTTCTCAATTTCGATCAGATCGCTACAATCATTTTAGAATTCATTTAGTTATGGATTGTTTGAATCTTTCCATTGATATTTAGGACTGCAGTTAATCCATCTTTTATTGGCATGTGTTCATCCAGTGCAGATTACCACAATCACAAGCATTGTAGGCAAAGATGGATGGTGGCTAGCAGTGGAATCAAGGACGTGCGTTTCGTTATATTTGGGACTCGTTAGCTAGGTGTATCAAGCATCTCTCCTTGCAATGCTTGTGATTTAAGGCAATATCAAGGCAATCTTCACAGGATGTACACATTCCAACAAGTGACTGATCAATTACAGTCCTCAACATCAATGGGAAGACTCAGTTAACCAATGCAAAATTAATAAAAATTCACCTTGTTGCACAAGCTAGTGGGTATCTGAACTTATTTGTTAAGTGGATATTGCGATGACATTTTAAGCGAACGGTATTAAGTTGAAGTCCCGGAGTGAACATCAACTCTGGGATGTATGTACATCCAGCTGACGAGATGCGTTTCCTTGATTCCACTGTTAGCCACTAAACATTTTATAATTTATAACGCCTTATATACTTCATGTGAAATTATTGTCAAATGACTTTGTCAGAGATAGTTGAACTTTTTTGATAGAGGATTCATTCTTATTTCCTTCATTAGCAAGGTTTACTTTAAAAATAAATCAATATCACGTTTTCTATAAGTTTTTTTATGATGAGGTTTAGAATTAAATGTGGAAAACCACCTAACTAAGAACCGTCTAATTTATAAAAACAAAACATAACTACATGGACTAAAGTGATTATCTAATAGTTAAACCTCTAGATACTTTATCAAACAACTGTCCAGCTAATATCTCATGGAGCAAACGCTTTTTTCGTATTTACAGATATGTCTTGACTATATACATCAAGAAATATGTTTCTAATAATAAACCTTTCCTGTTGACTTCCTTTAATCATGAAATGTTTATTATAGATTATTATTGTCCTGGGTTCAAATCTCACGAGGCGGAATCGCGGAGGCCTACTGCCGAGGAGTCCCACAGTAGTACGAAATGGCCGTCCAATGCTTCCAGGTTCTCCATAGTGATCTATCTTCAATTGACCCATGATCTCAACTATTAAAAAATTACTATAATACCCACAAAAACCTCTTCTGATATGAGTCGACATATGCTCACTAGTGAAGGTCTCCAAGGGGTATTTCCTGGAGTTCTAGTGAGAAGTAGTGACCAGTGGAGTTCAACCAGGTCTGTTGTGAGATAGTAACTCACTGAAGACAATGGTTTATGTGTCGCTCAATTTCGTGGATTGGTTGAGGTTACACATTAACATCGTTGAATGCCGACTGGTTCAGTAGTCTAGAGTGCAAGCGTTCACGCGTGAGACCGCTAAATCCTGAGTTCGAATCTTGAGGAGCGGGATTGTGGATACGCATTGTTGAGGAGTCCCGCAACAGGACGGGACGGCCGTACAGTGCGTCCAGGTTTTCCATGATGGTCTAGCATCAATTGACTCATGATCCACCAAACCCCTTCTCATATTATTGTTTTATTATATAAATTGTTGGGATATTCAGGAAAATATCCCAAAAATTATCCTGTTAAGCCTAATGCTATCCTTGGACATGAAATGGTATTATCTTATTGGTCAATATTTATTTAACGTGTTATTTTCCTGTTGGCCAATATTGTACAATGTTATTTTCTATTTTGTGGTATGTTGTGGTCTGCTTGACTGGTATATAAACAAAGTATGTTTGAAATATAATGATTCATAACTCAGAGGCTGTGACTTGTGTTCTGGACTCAACTGACTGGGCTAGACAGGGAAGCGGGGCCAATCAGAACCCTAGGTCGTTCTACGTGTTTGTGCGTCTTTGGTCCGATCAATAATTCGCTACCCTCTAATCTGCCGTCACAGTTATAGCACAAATGTATCATATAAAAAAAGATATAGTACTACAGATTACCTGAAAATTTTATTCTACTTTAAATTAATATTTACAATACTGATACATAATATGAGGAAGTATAAAATGCTTCTTAATATATTTGGTTGGATGTAAATACAATATGATCTGAATTATTTATACAAGTTGGATTTAGGTGAAATTAATTTCCTTTGTACAGTAAGAATGCCAATTGGTCAATAAAATATCGAAAACAATATTCTAAATCCCATGTATCAAAGCTAAAATTAAAAAAAGATCATAAATAATAATAATATTGTTTTGGATTGATCACTATGTTGATAATAAACATTAAATAATGCTCTAATAGCTTGTGAACTGATAATGATGTATATGATTTATCATTTGTAAGAATGAAGTAACTGGATAAAATTAGGATTATTAGTAGTTGACATCATGATTCAATTGAAGCTAGACCACTATGGAAAATCTGTAAGTACTGGACGACCGTTTTGTCCTACTGTGGGACTCTTCAGCACTGTACCTCCACGATTCCACCTCGACAGATTTGAACCCAGGATCTATTGGTCTCGTGCACGAACGCTTAACCTCTAAATCACTGAGCCAGCTGGCATCCAACGATGTTAATGTGTAACTTCAACTAATCCACGAAATTGAGCATGAATATGACTCATGATCTCAACTATTAAAATTACTATAATATCCACAAAACCCCTCCTGATAATATTATGATTATCGAAATATTACGATTATTACAGCAACCTGTTAGCCATTAAGACTAAGGTCGATTAATTTAATTACCATACGTCATTATAAATGATAATATACATAAATGAAGGACAACCATTCAAAAGGGAAATTCAATCCAATTAAGTATAATAGACCAAAATGAACTCATTATATATGTTCTGAACAACAACCAAGTGTTTTTAAATAAACCATACAGTTCGAGGGACAGATTACTAAACTTGTTAGTTAACTTGATCGTCATTTGTTTTCATCGATAAGCTAGTATAATAAATACATCTTGCAAGATCAACGAACTACTGGCAAAACTTTTTAATTTGATAATAATGATATTATACCCATCGATATCGATGTGAAAGTTCTTACGTTATGATAATCATTTAGGTATTATGTAATCAGTTATCCAATTAACAATGCAATAAACACTCAAAAACTGAATGACATGTTATCTGAAATTGAAAGGAAATACTTTTGATCACGACCAAACTATCCAGCTCAAAGAACAAAACTCCATCAAAATCATCCACTTGAGCTACAAATCTTCTCCACCATCTCAAGAAAATAATCCACTAACTTTCAACGAAATGATACAAAAATATATTGTATGCTCCATGACTTGACAATTTAGTATTCATTCATGGGTATTCAATGTTAAAAATTCTTAAGTTATGATGAAACGGGTTTCATTGTGATCCATGATTGCCAGTGATACTTTACATGGTGTTAGTAACTTTCACAAATCATACAACTTTGTAATAATTGTTTTTCATGGTTTCATATCTTTCCTAACAATATTATGGTGTGTAAGTTCTCTAAATATTTTAAACTTTTAGTATGAACATGATCAACTACGCCTGGAGCCCTTCTAGGGCTACTTCCGGTCCCAAGCCCGGATAAAGACGGAAGATTGGGCGTGGGGTTAGCGAACCCATCACGTAGAAAACTAACTCGCTAAAAGAACACTAACCAGAATAATTATGAACATGATTGTTATTATTATTTTTTAATTAATCAGATCAATACACTAGATAAATCGTCATAGACATACCTTCCAAATGTTGTTCCAACTTTACATTCCCAACAACCTGAATATGTCTCTTTGAATGTTTTCGCAATATAATCAGCTATATCATCATGAGATGAGAATAAATTCATAGCTTCTAATGATAATTCAATTGCATGTTGTTGCATTTGTTCAATTTTTTTAGTTGAACTGGACATTGTTCTGTCACAATCAAACAAATAGAAACTATATATCACAAACGAAGTATATTTGTTACTAGCTAAATTATTTCATTTTGATTTAGTATTTATATTAATAATTATAACTACACATTCTTGATATATATACATAATTAGTAGCTTACAATCAATGACAATGTTTTGCCATTGTACCAAGAAACTATTATTGATTACAATTGAGAAGCCTACAACCTCCTTATAATCAACTAATTATATTTTTTTACAATGATTGTCAATAAACTTTTTCTCATTTCTGAACTATGTCGTCATGCTTGTCCATGTTCACGTGACTGTGCTAAAAGTAGCTATGCATGTTAGATAATGAAAATAGACTTAAAAAATAAAAGAGATTTAATATCTTTTTGCATTCATCATAAACACCATGTGATAAAGAATGTATTGTACACGTTAACTAGGAAGAATGTTTGTTTTTTTTAATCTCTAAGTAAAGAACAGTTAACGTTTTAATTACTAGATTTTTTGTATCTTTGGACTGATAATCAGTTTTAGAAATCAACTTGCCTAAGTGCTAATAAAAAAAAAGGAAAACTTATTATCTGAACATCTAATTTTATAGAATATTTAGTGTTAGATAAATACAGTTAACAAATATTCATACCAATATGAGGTTTCTGTATACTTTCAGATGTTGTTGAATCTATCGAAACGTTGAATTAAACAATTGAGATACCCACGAGACCGAAGTTCATAAAACAGCGATTTGTTTAAAAAAGAAATTCTTTATCGAAGAATAGACATATATTAGTTACCAATCTCAAATCGTGAGATATCTGTTAAGCTTAATGAGTCTGTATGTTTGAAATAGAAAAGGCTTCCTGTAATTATGACATACGATAGTGAAAATGACAGCTGATAGCTGTGTTTAATCTTGAACACAGTTTTTCAACAAATAATAAAAAGCAGACAATTGTGGAAACCGTTGTGTTTGAACAAAAATTAAACCGCTATACAAAATCGAGAATAACTGTTACAGGGCTTGAGAGTAAATAATCATAATAATAAATACAATAAATGTTATAAGTATACGTGAAAATTTTAGATTACAAGACAAACTTGGGTTAGAATTCGCTAGGAATACAACTATTTACTAAATATTAATAAGTAGTATAAAACAATACACAAAAAAGTGTTGATGGGGAGAGAATAAGGATGGAACGTAAACAAACTTAATAAGTGAATTGATATAAATGACTGTCAGGAATTTTTACGATTTACACTCCAATAAGTAATATGTATCATTTATTTAACCTAAAAAAGTACCCCTAAATCATATGTAAACCACTGGATGGTGTAACTAGCCAGTTACTTAAACCTCAAAGTTGATGCTTAAGCTTAAATTAATTTAAAACTATTTAGATTCAAAATAGTACATTCAAAATGAAATGATTTTTTAAATGTATGAATTTTGCCTTTTACACACGATGTCATAAGTTCTATTATAGAAGTCACAGTTCAATTGTTGTTTCGGTTCGAGCAGCGGTTTTCTTTCATTCAGATTATTTTATATCATAAAATCTTATTATATTTTGATTATCACATTTTATTTCTTAGTCGTTTTCAGGTTATCTCTATTTCTACTTAGCTAATATAGACAAGAAATTTAAAATGTCACTCAAAAATCATTAAAGTAAGGCCAAAGACAGATGTGCACTAGTTAGAATTGCAATACGGCATTGGTATGACGAAATGAAATTAACAAGATATATTGCAATAAAGGACCGGAATAATGTAGAAAAAAGTGAAGGATTAGGTATTGAGAATAGGGTTCTAAAATACTGAATCAAAAGTTATATAATAGGAAATGCTTGGATTTTTGATCCAGAAGAAGATAAGAAGTGAATGCATCTATGCTATTGCTAATGAATTTGAACCATGTGATTCAAAGGCTGCATGCACTGATCTCCGTTATACCACGAACACCATCAGGTAGTCTGAATCTTCCAACATTAAATGACTCCATGAACTGATGCCGAGTCTTGGTCTTGCAGCTGTTTAAAATGTACTTTATATTTTTCAATATACTTCATAAAAATGTAAATTTGTAGTGTGGTGTCGAGTCGAAATTGACTATGAACACAACTACAAAGGAACGCGTGCAAGGATATCCATAAAATCCCCCGGAAGCCAAATATCAGAAGGCAGTTAATGAACCAAGTCGAGATATATTTTCTGGCGATCTAGTGGTATCGAAAGAATACCGAAATCGTGCCAGTATACGAGCTTGGTTACCGAGCGTAACCGAATTCGCGCGAGGTCACAATCAAAGTGTAAGAATAATAATGGAAGCACAATATAGCTGTCATTAGCACAGTTAAACAAAGAGCCCATTTAACAGTCACTGGTACAATTGGTTATAATAATAATTGTTTTCATTAAACCAATCGTTTTCTCGTGGTAAAAATAAGTCACTACAAATTAATTAGTGGTAAGGCTTCCAATACTTAAACTATATAACTCAAATCCGAAAGCCAGAAGTTTGACTTCTGTAAACTTGCTTAATATCTAACAAAACGAAAGTACTTATAAATATGTAGTTTCATTCTAATGGTTATTTGATAAACCTTGAACGTAATGTAGTTTACACAATGTTAGTAAAGCTCTTGTTGAATAAAAATTATTACTTTTCATAATGTTCTCATTTACGCCACAGTGACTTCGGGACTTTTATTAAATGTTTTAAAACAAAAAACAAAAATGATTGAAGTACTAAACAAAAATCCATTTATTACTACCATATTTATGTTCTATATATAATTATCATCCCGTTATCAACGGTCTTCAATAGATTATTTACCTTTCCATGTTTATTTCCAGAAAATCGATATTTACCCGTTATTTGCGCTGTACTTCTCTTTATTTCCCTCAAATTCGCCCTTATTTCCTTTCTAATGACTACTTTAGGACGGCAGCTTTCAACGGGAAATTGAGCAAAAACAAGTTAAATGTTTGAATTGAAAAAGAAAGATATCACACTTAAAATGATTTTAAACGACCTGTTTTATAGGTTTTTTAGACGTCAATTGGATACTTGTTATTACCATTACTACGAACATACATATCAGTTCCTGTAGTGATGTTTAAGTACAGGCTTCCTCCTGACAACGATCAGAATTATTAGTAAAACGTGTATTGTCACTCACTTCTAGTGCAACCGAGGATATTCCCAATCTAAATATTCTCTCGACTTTAGCGAACAGCGATCATGTTGTTTTTATCAATCATGTTTCGGGCTTTTGATATAATACACGGTCAGGTTAAACTCGCACAAATGTGTGGAGAGCAAACATGTCAGTTATGCAGGAGTTTGCTACAACAACGGACTGGTCAGTTTTTGACGGAGTTTTGTTCTCTGAGATGGATTGTTTGGTCATGTAGCTTGCATCGTTCTCCTGAACGACATCATCAGCACAAACTTCAGCTAGAAGTGAAGTGTTCGAATTTCTCCATATGTGATTCACAGCTTGTGCTTTACACCTCAGTGTTGATTAGTTCTTGTTGACCTTAAACCCGTCACTGTTTACTTCTTTGTTTTGGATATATCTTCAATCGATTTGGATTTGTTCCAATGTTTGTCCATAATTTTCTTGATTGATTGATATACTGGATTGATTTCAATGTGCTTAATGATTGTTGATTGACCTGAGAAGCGAACTCATGAAGGTGATTGTGATCCCACCACGTTCGGTACAAGAAAATCCTTCGATGTTGGGAAGAAATGATGTTGCTGAAGCTGAAGCTTTGCCGGAATACTTTGATAAATTGTTTACAATTGACGATGGCGAAAGACCAACAGTTAATCGTAACAAATGTGGCTTGTTGATTTGACCTTTGGTTATTGTAAATAAGGCTGTCCCATGACTAATTTGACATCTCAAACCACATATAACCAGTGGTTCGGATGATACGGAATGACCGAGGCTGTTATCTTTCAAACACCTAAAACGCTAGGACTTTTATCAAAGTATTTTGTCATATTTACAGGCTACTTTATTATACATACAATTCTGTTGAGTGGCGACATCGTTTGTGGCTTTGTGTATTAGTAACCCTGAGTGATATTTCACTTGTACAACTCTCTGTGTTGACCTGATGACGAAGATTTTCATTGATCAGTAATCAGAAATTAGGCTTCTAGCCCAGTAAGTACTTCATAGAAGCCATCATTTGGTGCTCCCACTCATGTGGACTGATCTACTAATGCAATTAGGAAAAGCAACTGAAGTCCTTGATGTATTTTCTCATTCGGATGACAGAACAACTATTAAAAATAGGTACTTGAAATTAACTGCTTAGTGAAGAATATATGAGTGACAAACACACTGAGCGTCGACGGATTCTGTCTTCCTTTAAAGGGGAACCAAATTAACCTGACTATTTTCGAAAACTAAAAACATTCAGATGAGTGCGAATGCTGTTCGGATGAAGTAGTATAACGATTGAATACACAAACCGCAACTGCCGAAATCCATGTTCTATATCTTTAACGGGGGCTTCATAAATGGATTATCATAAAATATATTGTCAGGATAAAACAGATGATAATCAGCCACCACAAGTCCGTTTTCGAAACACGGGGCTGCTTTTATTGAGCAACATACAGGAGAAGAATATATAGCATGACATTAATCTACCTCAAAGTTGAGTCACTTTGCATTGAGTAATCAACTGGTAACCACGGAGATCCGTTCCGATAGTAAATTACTTTCAAGAGTTATTCAGAGCCCGAATGTAATAACGTAGTTAAAAGTCTAACAGTGTTTTTTCATTACTTTGGTGTTTGGCTAGTCATGGAAAATTCAAAAAGGAGATATTTTCAAGCGTAGATGGTTCAGCGGGAAAACACGAAATTGCCAAAGTAACTATGATATGATGTGAATGTTAGGCAGATAATGGACAAAACTGAGACGATCGAATTCGCTCAATATCTCAGAAATAAGACCACTTAACTGTTATGTCTTTAGAAAAATAAAAACGCTGTATACAGTAAACACTGGCTTATTTACTATGATAGCGAAGCGGGGGTCGTGACATGTTAAGCAGGATTGTAGCAGTATTTTCACTAATAAGCCAAGCCAGCGCGTAGACGGATGTAGGTTACCA